TTTTGAAAATTTTGAGCATTTTAAAAATCTTTATAATTCTGAAATGGACTATTTTTTAAGGTTTGAAGATTGTGTAAGCCTATGATGAGAACTATTATGAAATGCGAATGTTAAATTTCCACCTGAGGGTCACTCCAGGATACCTTATTATTCCTTTAAAATTGATCAACATTCAATCGGATCTCAGCTTTCAAGGATCGACTAAACATTACAAAATCTCCAAAACTTAAACAATTCTCCAACATTTCGTGTTTATTGGGATTTTCTAAATTTTCAATACCTTTTGAGCTTCAAAAAATAAAAGAATGTCGAAATTATGAAAATTTTGAAAAGCTAAGACTAAAAATCTGTAAAATTTTGGTAATTAAAAAAAAGATTTTTAAAATAATTAAAATTTTAAAACTCTGTAGAATTTAAGAAATTAAAAACCTTGTATCAAAATTTTTATAATCTGTAAAAACTTGTAATTTTGAAAGCTTAAAGGTTCTTGGAAATTTTGAGCATTTTAAAAATTTTTATAATTCTGAAATGGATAATCTTTTAAGGTTTAAAGATTGTGTAAGCCTGTGATGAGAACTATTAAGAAATGCGAAAGTTAAATTTCCACCTGAGGGCCACTCCAGGATACCTTATTATTACTTTAAAGTCCAAGGGTTGATCAACATTCAATCGGCTCTCAGCTTTCAAGGGTCGACTGTACTTTACAAAATATCCAAAACTCCAACTCCAACATTTCGTGTATATTAAACTTTTAAGATTTTCTAAATTTCCAATATTTTTTAAGCCTGAAAAATTATAAGATTATCGAAATTATGAAGATTCTGAAAAGCAAAGACTAAATTCTGGAAGTTTTTTAAATCTTGGTAATTTTGAAAAAAAAAGATTTTAAAAAATGTTAAAATAATGAAAATCTTGAAAATTTATAGAATTTCGGAAATTAACAATCTTACATCAAAATTTTTATAATTTGGCAAAACTTATCATTTTGGAATCTTAAGAGCTTTGTAAATTTTGAGCATATTAAAAATCTTTATAATTCTGAAATGGACAATTTTTTAAGGTTTGAAGATGGTGTAAGCCTATGATGAGAACTATTATGAAATGGAATGTTAAATTTCCACCTGAGGGTCACTCCAGGATACCTTATTATTCCTTTAAAATCCAAGGGTTGATCAACATTCAATCGGCTCTCAGCTTTCAAGGGTCGGCTGTACTTTACAAAATATTCAAAACTCCAACTCCAACATTTCGTGTATATTAAACTTTTAAGATTTTCTAAATTTCCAATATTTTTTAAGCTTGAAAAATTATAAGATTGTCGAAATTATGAAGATTCTGGAAAGCAAAGACTAAATATCTGGAGGTTCTTTTAAATCTTGGTAATTTTGAAAAAAAAAGATTTTTAAAACTGTTAAAATAATGAAAATCTTGAAAATTTGTAGAATTTCGGAAATTAACAATCTTATATCAAAATTTTTATAATTTGGAAAAACTTATCATTTTGGAATATAAAAGCTTTGAAAATTTTGAGCACATTAAAAATCTTTATAATTCTGAAATGGACAATTTTTTAAGGTTTGAAGATTGTGTGCCTATGATGAGCACTATTATGAAATGCGAATGTTAAATTTCCACCTGAGGGTCGCTCCAGGATACCCTATTATTCCTTTAAAATCCAAGGGTACAAAATCTCCAAAACTTAAACAATTCTCCAACATTTCGTGTTTATTGAAATTTTCTAAATTTTCAATACTTCTAGAGCTACTTTTAGCTAAAATTCTGAAAAGCTAAGACTAAAAATCTGGAAAATTTTGGTAATTTAAAAAAAAAGATTTTTAAAATAATTGAAATTTTAAAAAATTGTAGAATTTTAGAAATTAAAAACCTTATATCAAAATTTTTATAATTCTTAAAAGCTTAAAATCCAATGGTTCATCAACATTCAATCGGCTCTCTCAGCCTTCAATGGTCGACTGAACCTTATTGTTAAAGATGGCGCTAACATCAAATCTCGAAGTACCTTTATCTGTATATCTGTGGATCAATAGGCAATTGTAGTACCATACGTTCAAGTAAATACATGATGTTAAATTTTCGTTTTGTTTGTTTGGACATATCAACAAACGTTGTATAAATGAAAAAAGCCAAGAGCATATAAACATAACAAAATGACACATATGGTGGGTTCCTACACCTAATCATATAAATTTTCATATGAATAGCAGCATTACTGTAGAGACATAATATCCTCACTCATAAAAAAGTTCTCAAGTTGTCAACATAAATAAGTCCTTGGAAACCGTAATAAGCTTACGTCTCAACTCAAGCTTGAGGCGGTTCCATATTTTCCATATATCGTGTTCAAATGTCTGACAGAATACAGTCCACTTATTTCAACTCAAAACATAAAAACTGATCGTTCTGTTCTGTTAGCTGCTTATACATCGCGATCAACCACCTCAAAAATTGAATCCGTCTCTACTAAACAATGAATACAGAATTTGCTACATGAGCGACAAATATAAAAAACGGACAAGTTGTGGCTTGAACTGAGGTGAAGTCAGGGTGTTACCAGAAAATCTATAACATGGAGGTGTTTGAACTTGACAGTTCACGCTACGCCTTTCAAACATTACATAAACATGTACAAACATATTTTCTAAAGTATCTATATGGGTGGCGTTGGTGCCGACAAGTCTCTATGCTTAGCGAAAAAATAACGTCAAGTACGATGACTCTGCGCTATCGAAGCAACGCTGTTATCAGATCATAACATATATTCGGCATATGTAATTAGGTGAATCAAGTCAGTCAACTAGGCGTATACAATAACGTCAGTCGTTCTTACAATTGATTTTCATAGTTTTCTACTGTTCCGTGTCAGCGCTATATTTATAGGTTATGCCACAAGTATCTATTTGCATCAAATTGTTCATGCTTTTGATTTATATCATCTGTTTTATGGGCATGAAATTTCTTATGATTCAAAAAGAAGTAATAAATTCACAATAGGAGAGCGCTGACGCTGACACGGAACAGTAGAAATCCCCCAGCATTGGAAAGACTATGAAAATCAAGGAGGCCATAAAGGTGTCCCACAATTGTAGAAACGACTGACGATACGGCCCTCAGTGCCCAAGTCTCAAGGGCAAATATACAGAGAAATCTATGATGTGTGAAATATGTCTAATATGTGCATAGATTTAATGGAGCATATTAATAAATTAACGCCATCCATACTCCCGGCAACTGCAGCTTGAAAAGTTCGAAATTCCAAATCGCCAAATATGAAATTTCAACAGATGTTTTTTTGTTGTTTGCTGGTAGCTTCGCCGCCAATGGATCGATTCTCAAAAACGAAATTATGTTTTCGTCCATGGCACAGTAGTAACGTTGCGTAAAAATTTCATCAATATCAGAGTGGGACTTTCCAAGGATCAGCGGACAGACAGATCGATGGAAAGGAGATACATGATGGTGATTTGGCACGTAATACTCAAAAATGTTTCGCGATTAGAGTATTTCTTCGCCAATTGGCGTGAAAAGTAAGAAAACTACGCCACTGTTTTTGAAAAAAAAATATTCCCAAAATGGTGCTGCTTGAAAACTATCCTATTTTAGTTCAATCACATCGTTTTCAATATAAATTTTATTGGTAGTATGCGTGTCGTTATTAAAAAGTATCAACAGAGCTGGCATCTTTTTACGAATATAGCGAAAAGGAACACCTTCCAACATAAGTAAAAAATACTGTGAAAATAGTACGTTTTTTGCAGAGACCTGAGGGCTACAATCGTTCACGACTGATAAGTTTACACCCCGTAACATGAAAACGGATAATCTACCGACCCATGTTGATTTGTATGATCTTCTTTGCATATTTTTATACATGCCCAATTATGTCCATACATTCTACAGGGTGTTTCACAACTTATCCGACAAATTTTAACCACATATGCACTGTTACGAATGAAGTTGATTTCTCAAAAAATGTGTAATAAAAGTCCTACAGAAATCGAGATAATAAAATAATACAGTTTAACAGTCCACTTACTTATAAAATCTGTTCAAAACTGTTTCCATTGACTGCAATACAAGCTTGGGCGCGTCTAATCCAATTGCGGCGCACTCATTCAAATACACCTCGTTCCTGATTCGGTCACGTAATTCTTCAATATTCTGAACTGGAGCACAGTATACCTTATTTTCCAAGTATCTCCATAACAGGAAGTCCAGAGGATTTAGATCGGGAAACCGTGGAGGATATGCAATTGGTCCACCCCGTCCGATCCAGCGTATATAGTATACCTGATTCAGACGAGAAGCCGCTCGGGAATTTTGCGCTGCTTCTTCGCACGGTAAAACAATGTCCACTAACTCCTCATTAGTGTACACATGTGCCATTTTTATTAATAAATAACTAAAAACATAAACTCGCAAAATACTTTCTTACTTAACTTCAAAAGATAGAGCTTTCTTCATTCAGATCACCCACAATATAGATTAAACCTTATTGATAAGTTCTTATCAGTACGAAAAACAAAAAATTCTTGGTATTCTGTTTTCGTCAATTGTTTGGTGCAACATTTGCTACAATAAACTATTAATGCGTGTTCTAATATCACGACGATGAACGCAAAATACAGATATTTATTTTTCAATTTATTATTGAAACTCAGGTTTATAACTTAATTTCTGTAGGACTTTTATTACATTTTTTTTTTGAGAAATCAACTTCTTCCGTAACAGTGCATATGTGGTTAAAATTTGTCGGATAAGTTGTGAAACACCCTGTATAATACGTCTTAAGCTCCTTTCGTAGATTTTATATGCTCAATACGTAATATCCAACTACTCCATGGTATTAGGTTCTTGAAAATTTGGAATAGCTTTTGCTCACCGACAAATCATTTTTATATCATGAAGCGAAATAAGCGTACTGTTGTTGCCCCTATATTTAGGGGCCCACCTACTCCTACCTTAAACTTATCAAACAGTACTTGGTTAAGAAGGTCTGAGTGCGGTCTGGGCTGTCGTCCTCCGGCCTTTGCTGAGCCTGCCCCCTGGTGAGTGGCGGACGAAGTGCCGCCGCTGCCCCCGCCGCCTCCGCTGCTGCTCCACTCCCCGCTGCTTCCGAAGCCGCCCTCCTGAAACAACATCGAGAAAACTCCTTCAGCAAAACTTACCTTATTGTGGGTTTCTTCAAGGTTTCCTAGAAACTGCAGGAGATCGCTAAGAGCAATACGGATAAGTTTTTGGGGAGCTTCTTTAGACACATACATCTGTAAGTTTCGATGTGCCCTCTCCGAATTGGTCGGCGATATGGAAATATGGTGTCCGAAAACAATTTATTGTCAACACATAATTTCAGACTGAGTTCACAATTAATATTATTAGTAAAAAATCCTACAATTTATGGATTTAACTTTTTCTTTAGGATGAAGTCTTTCAGCATACGGGCGGGCGGCCTTATAGAAAAGTTAAGCCGTAAAGTTAAATAAGAAAATAGCGGGTCAAAACCAAAGGGGGTATCAACAAACCTTTCCGGATGAAACCAAATGATGATGATAGGAGATCGTGACAGGGGTGCGTAGTATATCAAACTTCCCGTATCTGACATCCGTCATAGATTGCATTTATTTATTTATTGCCTATATACAATTTTATCTATAAATATTCTGTTTGTTTATTCTTTTCTTAGGAAAATACAAGAAAAAGAAAACGCGAGCTATTATGATATCCTTTGAACGACTCACGGTGAGTTAAAAAATGTTCATACATTACTTTTGGCATTAAAATAGTAATAAATTTAGAAGGGAGGAATTCCTTCCTATTTGCTATCATTGCTCTTTGGTTACGTGGTGCCGTTAATTAATAGGGATCAGGGCCGTCCTTTCACCTGAGAGGCATGCGCTATTTGCTCCGCCTTCTTATAGGGGCGTGGCTCCAGAAGATCTCCTCCTCTGTGACGTTGCCAGATTATACCTACCCTCAAATTTTTTCAAGAGCGGGAGCAGTATATTTTAGCAGGGAGGAGGGGCAAAGCCTAAAAATTGTGCACAAAATCATGCTAAAAATGGACACTTTAAGGTAAAATGACTAACACGGCGGTCAATGTGTTAACGTACTTCTTTTACGCTACTTGTTGTTACAGGTTATGTGAGATCGTAACTGGTTTACGAGCAAGTAAAGGATAATATGGATGACACCAACCTCTTCAAAGGTATAGTGCGTGGACGAAACGGACAAAGCGAGAAAAAAATACCAAAAATACATTCACATATGCTTGTAGTTCAATAGTGGACTCATGCTAACTTATCTTAAACGTATCACTGGCCAAACATGAGGCAGAACCAGTGATCTGTGAGCTAGCGCCTTAAGCTACATCCAAGGCACGTTTAAAATAAGCATCAATTCACAATGATCTTGATTGAATCAAGGATGTCCTTCAACCTGGGAAGCAATATGCTGGTTGCTCCGCCTCCTTCTTGGGGCGTGGCCCCAAAGGCCTCCTCCTCCGCGACGTTGCCAGACAGAAATTAGCGTTGGCCCAAATTTATTGAAAAGTGACATGATCCGAATGTTTTTAATAAACAATTTGAAATAAATATGATCCTTCTCAGCACAATGAACGCCAGCCTAAGAAACTGAAGGATGTAAATCTTTGAAGGGTACAGGGGAAAAAAGATTGTAGTTAGAACCGGCGACATGTAGTCTTGACGCAGTACATTAACATGAGGTATGGTAAACACACAATGGCAATGGAAGTCCGTAGTTATACCCACTTGAAAACTTGCCGTGCAGGGAAAAAGATGAATGTCACAGCCACCGTGGTATGGAAAAAAGATGAACGTCCATTGATCATCACCGAAATTAGTAGCTACTACAACAATTTACCATACACTAATCAGCGACGAAAGTAATAAACGTTAAATAATCATTTTTAAGTAATTACCATTAATTTTGTTTTGTTTGCTCTATATTATTTGGAATAAAGCTTTTTGGTTCATAGTTTTTTCTTGTCCTGTTAAAAAAATAAAATAAAAAAAATAATTCTGTGTTTGAGGTATTGAGGTTAGAAAATCACCTTTTTCTCATGTGCTAGGCCACGTCTAATACATTTCTTGTTAAAGTTGTTCTCATATTAGAACAGATCGTACAATCTAACATAGGAATTTTGCTGGTTAATCAACCACTAGACTTTACAGAATGCCGCATATGACGATAGGCACATAAAAAATGTTTAAAATTATAAGGAAAAACTCAAAATACAAAAATGAAAAGGAGTTTCCATTTAAAAAAATGTTTGGTCTGCTTTCACTTTTGGGTTACCCTGTATATCCTTATAATAAGAAATCTAGGAGCCTTCAAACTTTTAAATTCATTTTTCTCGAAACTTACTTTTACTGACATTCATCTTTTTTCCCTGTATCCTTCATTTATTTCGATGCATTCCGCGCCAGGAAAGCTTAATATAATTTTTCGCTACTTGTTGTTACAACTTATCTGAGGTCGTGACCGGTGCATTCGAAACTGACGGACAATATGCTTATATGGGTGAGACCGATTTCAACAAAGGCACAGAAAACGGTGAAGGTAGAACCGATCAGCTGTGAGCTAGCGCCCTAAGCTACATCCAAGCCACTTTTAAAATAAGTATGAATTCACAATGTTCTTAAATTGATCAGGGATGTCCTCTCGCCTGTGAGACAATTCGCTGCTTGTTCCGCCTTCTTCTTGGGGCGTGGCGCCCAAAGATCTCCTCCTCCGCGACGTTGCCAGATTGGTATTGGTGTTGACTCGTATCAAATCCTTAGATCGCAGACATGACGCGAATGGTTTTGACAATCAATTTAAAATAAATGTGACATTCCTCAACACAATGAACGAAAGCCTCAGAAACCCAAGGATGTAAATTTTTTATTTATTTTGAAGCATTCCGCACCGGAGAACCCAATACAATTAAACGCACAAGCGCTAAGTAGCAATTTAAAAGTAGACATGTAGTGTCACCCCTTTTCGCTACTTGTTGTTCCAGGTTAAGTGAGGTCATGACTGGTATAACAGAAACTGTTACACAATATGGCCACCAAGGAGGTTGACACCAACCTCTTTGAAGGCATGGTGCGTGGATAAAACGCACAAAGCGAGAGAAAATACCGAAAATACATTCACATATTATGCTTTTAGTCGATCATGGACTCATGGTAATTTATATTAAACGTAACACTGGCCAAATATGGGAGCTGTGAGCTAGCATCTTGAGCTACATCCTAGGCACGTTTAAAATAAGCATGGATCCATAATGATCCTGGAGGGCTCAAGCTTGTCCTCTCACCTGGGAGGCAATCTGCTGTTTGTTCCGCATCCTTCTTGGGGCGTGGCCTCAAAGGCCTTCTCCTCCGCGACGTTGCCAGACTGGTACTGGCGCTGCCCCAAATTTATCGAAAAGAGACATGATCCGAATGTTTTCAATAATCAATTTGAAATAAATATGACATTTCTCAGCACAACGAACGCCAGCCTAAGGAATTCAAGGGTGTCCTTTTCGCTACTTGTTACAGGTTATGTGAGGTCGTGACTGATGCATATGAACGACACCGATCTCGTCAAAGGCATAAAAAACGTACAAACCAAGCACAACTACCAAACATACATTCACACAATGAAGTTTAGGCGTGGACCTTCGCTAGCTTATGTTAAACGTAACACTGGCCAGACATAAGGTAGAACCAATGAGATATGAGCTAGCGCCTTAAGCTACATCCAAGGCACGTTTAAAATAAACATCAATTCACAATGATCTTGAATGGATCAAGGATGTCCTCCTACCTGGGAGGCAATCTGCTGGTTGCTTTTCTTGGGGCGTGGCCCCAGAAGGTCTCCTCCTCCGTGGTTGCCAGACTGGTATTGGCGTTGGCCCGAATCTGATTTTCAGAATGCTGACATGACGCGAAAGTTTTTAATAATCAATTTGGAATAAATATGGCATTTCTCAATACGTTGAACATCAGCCTAAGGAACTCAAATATGTAAGAAACCCTAATATAATTTAAGGCAGACTATCAGCGCTAAGTAACAAGTTAAAAGTAGATATGTAGCGTCAGTCCATTTCGCTACTTGTTGCAGATTATATGAGGTCGTGACTAGTGCACTAGAGACTCAAGGACAACATGCCATGGAGGTTGCTAATAGGACCAATCTCTTCAAAGGCTTAAACAACGCATACACAACAAGGGGAAAATACCAAAAATACATTCAATTATACTTGGAATTTTATCATAGACTCGTGCTAATCTTATCAATGAGCTATGAGGTAGCGCCTTACGCTACATCCAAGTAACGTTTAAAATAAGCATAAATTGACAATGACCTTGAAGGGCCCAAGGATGTCCTTTCATCTGGGAGGCAATCTGCTGCTTGTTCCGCCTACTTCTTGGGGCGTGGTACCCGAAGGTCTCCTCCTCCGCGACTTTGCCAGACTGGTGTTGGCGCTGGCCCGCATCAAATTCTTAGAACGCTGGCATCACCCGAACGTTTTTCATAATCAATTTGAAATAAATATGAAATTTCTCATCACAATGAACGCCAGCCTAAGAAACTCAAGGATGTAAATATTTTATTCATTTCGATGCATCTCGCGCCTGGAAAGCCTGATATAGTTTAACACAGAACTCGTCACTGCGCCAAATAACAAGTTAAAGGTAGGTATCTAGTGTCAGTCCCGATAGATGTTACCGCACCATTGGAACAGATGTCAGTCACCAGTCACTGACATGGAGAACTATCTTTTAACGTACTTCTTTTTCGCTACTTGGTGTGACTGGCTACGAGACTGGTAAAATGAAGGTCAATATGCCATGGAGGTTACTAATATGGATCGCACCAACCTCTAACAAAAGCTACAAAATGAGGGAAATGACCAAAAATATGTTCACATATGCTAGAAGCTTAATCGCGGAATCATGCTAACTTAAACGTAACACTGACCAAACATGAGGCAAACCCAGTGAGCGTGAGCTACATCCTAGGCACGTTTAAAATAAGCATGAATCCACAATGATCCTGAAGGGCTCAAGCTTATCCTCTCACCTGGGAGGCAACCTGCTGTTTGTTGCGCCTCCTTCTTGGGGCGTGGCCCCCGAAGGTCTCCTCCTCCTCGACGTTGCCAGACTGGCGCTGGCGCTGGCCCGCTGCAGCCAGCGGCGGCGCGCCGACAGCGTTGTCCGGCTGGTGATTGCGTTGACGACTGGCGGGAGAACTTCCGTTACCTTCGCCCGAGGCGCTACTGCGGGAGGAGCCGCCGCTGGCGCTGGCGCAGCCGCCCCCGACGATGGGGCAGCTGCTGTTGCTGCTGCTGGCGCCCTCGCTGCTTCCCCCGCAGTCTGGTACCATCTGCAAGTGGGAGGAATATGTGCGGATAGGGAAATAGCCACTGGATTCGTCAAGTTATTTGTATGGAGCTAGATTTTATACACTACGACTATAACAACAATTATTTTATAACAGTGAGAGGATTACCTGATGAGATGACAATATTTAGCTCTTATCTTATTACATTAAAGTTTTGCCCCAAAGGCATGGATCGCGATCAGAACACTCCAAAATATTCGTTCCGGCAGTCCATGTTCCGGTTTATTTTATTGATGTTCGTTGTTCCAGCATTGGTATTTGTTCAGAACTGATTCGTTACATGAAAAATATGTTCTAAATGAAATACGAAACATTCATGGTACACACAAGTTTAGGCATGCGTAGTTGTTGTTAACGATTGGGAGGAACATTGATTTCCTGTTTGCGTTTATGCCGGTTTGGTTTGTATCATAGTTTTATGGTTTAGACAGGGGGGTACCCAGAGAAGGCCAGGGGGCACCTGCCCCCCCTTTCCCTAGCTCAGAAAAAAATTAATGGAGACATTTTTTACAAGAATCAAGCTATTCATTCAGGGTTCGCCATGAGCTGAATCAATATCCATTAGATAACAAATTACTACGACTAGTTAAACCTATGTTAGATATAAACTTGATTTTGCTAAAAGCATTATATACAGGGTGGTCCATTCATGTGCGGACGGAATATTACTAATAAACAAATACATTTTGGGAAAATCTATTTATAGCATTTCATCCATGACATTTGAGGGCATTTTTCTAAAATATTGGCAATTATACAGGGTGTCCCAATTTTGACCTTCATATCAAAGAGGTGATTTTTTTTAAGAAGAAGAAGATTGATATAACATACTATAGGGTTTTGGTAGTTAGCTACTGAGATGTAAGGTGTTTTGTCCAGAAAAACCGTCCACCTCGGCAACCCCTCAATCCGTCCATTTTGTTCACACCTTATATCTCAGTAGCTAATTACCAAAACCCCATAGTATGTTATATTAATTTTCTTCTTTTGAATTGGTTTATCCAAATATGCAATAAAATTTGAGGCATTCCATTTGAAGAATCACAACTTTGATATGTAGGTCGAAATTTGGACACCCTGTATAATGGCGAATATTTCAGAAATGTGCACGTAAATGTCATGTATAACATCCCATAGATATATTTCCCAAAATGTATTTGTTTAAGAGTAATATACCGTCCACCCATGGATGGGCCACCCTGTATATACACCCGCACTCGTATGTCTGAAATTCGAATCTTGCCGTTGGAATATCGGAGACAGAAAAACGAATGTCAAACGATCAGTATTTACTGTGGTTTGTACCATCAGTACATTTCTGCGTAACATTATGCATCAATAATTACTAACGTCGAGACTACACGGTAAATATATATCACATCTCATAATAAATATATTGAAGGATCTCAGTAAATACTGATCTTCTGACATTCGCCTAAATGAAAATAAAATCCTATCTCAAATAAGCCCAGAAAAAGTTAGAAATGATTTTTGAAAAATTCGTTCCCATTTCCGTGTATCTCTTGTGGTGTCAAAACTTTTCAAATGTATTTTCTAAAATATAAAAATACGCAACTTTGCCACCATTCAATCGATCCGTATCGCTTACCGTTATGGAAATTACATGGGTGAAAATATTATAAAACTACTATTTGGGTATAGGTATGTCATATATTATCTCGACTGTTGCTTTCAAGTACTGCAAAGGACAGAATTATTACTTATTAAATGAAATTCACATAAAAACAAAGATATCAAGCATGTAGATATGATTTGTGCAGCTTCCACGAAAACTTTTTTCAGCTGGGTACACTCTTGTTTCAATCATGGATAAATGGATTTCTTTGTGCATTTGTACTGTGCTGCTGTTTTTCCGTTCTAATATAACGTAACATCAGGAAACTCTTCCACGATTGATAACACCCAAAGTAAGTTCCCAACACAAAACCATTCGCGAACATTAGCATTTTGTGGGATATGAATGCACACGACAGCGGGGCCGGGGTCGGCGCTGATTCTTGTTCAAATCATGTCACTGGTTATTCCGAGAAAGGAACATATGTTCTGAACATGAATTGAACCGTTTGCTGGATCAAAGCTAAAAAGTTGCAACTGAAACAAGTAACCTACACGCCGTTCGGCCACTGCGGTGAGTTCTCTTAGCTAATGCAAGTCACTCATAGTCAATACCTATGTGGTACGAATTTTGCCTTTGATAGTAACGGGGAGTGCTCCCTATATTATTTTTTTTTCAAATTAGAAAGATGTAGATTTGTTGAACATACTTTCCAAGGTTTAACTCAAGACTCAACTTTAAATATGTTAAGGAGCTCAGCGGAACATAAATAATTGTGTCATCCTCTTGAACATGTTCATTCATGCGAAAAAATCCAGCTCCATTCGGTTATAAATGGGTCGTCAGTCCGAGGCATTTGTATTTTTATTAGGAGGCTTTCTCCTTTTTCTGTTTCAATTTGATGATATACACACATACTCAAAATCTAGGGATATTAGAGATTTCCCATACTCAATAATTTATTAGTTAGTTTAAACCACGTTGGGCAGTATAACACCATATTAATGTAAACAGAATAGGACGCATCGTTTCGCATAGTATCATCATAAAAAAGAGTCTAGTTAAAGGTAAAAAAAATTATCAGAATATACAATAAGACGCGATACCGAGTATGTACAGTATTTGATCAATTGTTGTTCGGCAAACGTGCTTTTAGTGATGTTTTAAATATGCCTAGGGGGCCGTTCAAGTATTACGTAAGCAGATTTATTACAATTATTTACCCCTCCATCCCACCTGTCAGCAAAAGTAAGCAAAGCTCTCACCCCCTCCCCCCATGCTTACGTAAACATTTGTCAATTAATGTATTGTTTTTTTTAATATTGTAATTATAATGTTATAATTATAATTTGAAAAATAAGAAAATAGATTTAGGATAGAGATTCTATTTTACTGATACGGTACTCGACATAGAGTAAAGGACAAAAATATTATATCTTACTAGCATAACAAACTTATTTTAAATTTTTGGTACATATATTAAATTCAAATTAACAGTCTTCAGTCCATGAAACTCGATTCCATGATTCTGTTTTCGATGACATTGGATTGCTTCGATTGCTGCTCAGTGTTGTGAGTTAGCTTGCTTTCATCGGATTTTGTAATGTCTACGTCGTTCTCATCGAGCCATTTAACATCATGGTGCTCTAAATTTTGAATAATGCACATCAGTTCATTAGCACGACGAGCAGCGACTACACGTCTAACTTTCCCATCAGTGTCCGTGTTTACTTTTTTAGGGATATTTTCGATGTGACGATTTAGTGACTTGACGGAAGCATGATAAAGACCACACGTTTTGCATGTTCGACTTAATAGCCTGAATTTTACCTTCGGACAAACATAATCGTAGGGCATTTGCAGGAAATCTTTGAGTGAAGCACTTAAGCGTAAAGCTAAACTGACTGGAAGATTAAGAAATTGCCCTCCTTAATCCAAAATTAAGTCATCAACTGTTTGTATTACTTTTACAGGTGGTGGAAGAATCCTATTGTCTAGTAATCTAAATAGGCCACTTCTTGGACGACAGCACTCTGTATTTCTACATTTTATAATTTGAAGCAAGTATTGGCTCTCACGCACATGTTCTGAATACCATTTAATGTCTGGAAAATCAGGAAGATCTTGTTCACCTGCCCCAACATATTTTGCATTAACATTATAGCCATCAATTTCCAGTGAACTCCATACTTCAGCTAATACATTTCTTGCAAATTCGAAATTAGATCTTTCTAAATATTCAACAATTGTAACGCCTCGTTCACCCAAATGAGACCCAAAATGGTCATGAGACAATATTAAACCAGCCAGTTCCTGACTAAGAGGAGCCATTCTGCGCTCTACTCTGTTATACGCACTTCTTCCAGGAGCATTGGTAGCTAAAAACAATGCATCGAGATCATGTCGCTTAAAGTGTTGTATAGCAAACCCTATGACTTTTGATAACGTGGATTTTCATCTGGCCCTCCAACAACCGTCATGATTACCACTGGTTTTACTAGTCCATGGTTAGTTTTAGCTAATGGTCGAAACTCTTCGAGTTCGAGAAGCGTCTCGAAATCCTGAGCATGAGTATGAGCAGTAGATGAACTATGCTTCCCACTTTGAATAGCGATGTATGTTGGTCCAGAATATCCAACGGCTTGCGGTTGTCCTAGAATGTTGGAAGTGATTTTGATACCAGCATAAACAGATGGTATTAATTTATGACGCTCAGCAATTACCCAATCGTGATCAGGCAATTTGATTCTATATTCCATGTGCATTAGAAGGGGTGCTTGCTTATTTGCCGCAGTTACGCCAACAGGCACTCATCTTGAGATATGAAAAATACTTGATCTGGTCCAAGTGGCTCTTGTGGTGATCAGTTTGAACCCGAATGAGCTTAACAGGGGCTGTCGATACTTGTCTTCGTCCCTCTGCAGAATTAGATTTTCTGGGAATCAAACGAAGATATGTCCCACTGCGACTAATGTCAAATCCTATTTTACGTAATTCTTGTGTGAGTTCATCAAGAGTTTTTACGCTACGAATTGATTCCGTTCGTCTTCTATCATCTGCTACACTCCCAAATAAAGCTATATGCGTGATTGTTTTCAATAGTGAATGTTGACTGCTTTCAAGATTAGGGCGTCCCACTGAATCCCTCAGAGATAGTCTTTTTTTATTTCTGGATTTGCATGACAAATATCTTCTAGCTTTCTTTTCATACCATCTCTGTGTTTCTTCTGGGCAACTGCGATTTGAACCTTCCTGTTTAAAGACTGTTTTCCTGTTTTTATTTCCTCGCGCAACTTAATGATCTGTTTATCAATTTCAGCACGGCTTGGCATAGTATCTCTGGCAGAATACAAAGCATTCAGATGTTTTTCGAGTAGAGCAATCTTATTTTTCATAGCTTCCTGAG